GCTGATGATGATGATGATGATAGGATATGGATGTTATTATTGTATTGTATATGTATGTAATATTGATAGGGAAACAAATGTTGTATTTAATTTTGTTTCAAGAAATGCATTTTCTATAATAAATATGATTTTACCACTTTATTGTACAAGTGAAGCCGCGTAATATGGGAACGGGGGCGGATGGAGCGGAGTCGGGCTCGGGCTCGGGCTCGGGGTCGGGGGCGGATGTAAACAGCTGTCTCTCCGTGGCATTATCTCGCCGATAGACCGACAGAGCGATAGACTAGTGCGCTACCACAATACATTCACTTGTCTACAATACATCAGTTGTCACATAACAAACATATATCAGGCAGGCATTCACATAATGAAAGATTATATGTAAACTTATATATCATTATGAAACACCTTTGAATATATTCGTTATTGAACATCTACTTCTAAATACTTGGCTAAGCGCTTAATAAATCAAACTACATTTTATGAGCACATAAGCACATCTTCTATTGCTATATACAAGCATACATACATACATACATAAGCGTCGCCGGAAGCAGTTGCCCCTCCCTACCCCCCCAGCGACGGCCATGCATACATACTTTTTAATATAAAACAGATAAAAACATATATGAGAAACAACTTTAACCAGTTATTGTATTTGGAGTGCTCGTGTCGGCCACGTCGGCCATGTGGGCCACGTCGGCTACGTCGGCCACGTCGGCCACGCCGGCCACGTCGGCCACCTCGGTCATGTCGACCGCGAGCGGGTGCAATGCGGCGTCCATGCGGCGGCCGAGTCTCTGCTGAGACGGCCAACGACCACTACTTTTATTTATAAATATAAGATGTTGCGATGCATTGCCTTCTCAGTCCCCCATCTATTTTGTTTGCGCGATGATTGAGGGTGATGGAGAAGAACATTTTTATCGGCCCATAAGTGGTCGCCCCCTACAGCGGGCGCTCCTCTCGCTCGGTCTCGAGCCGCTCTTTAGCTCTTACAAGCTGTCGATGGGAGTAAAGGAGCAGCCGTCGCGTCGGGCGACGCCGGCGCCCGTCGCAAGCGCTAAACGGTTCGCGGGGCACATGGGGGTTGTCGGTGGCGTTACCTCGATGAGGGATTGCTCGGAGGCGCGGGAGGCGCGGGAGGCGCGGGAGGCCCTGGCGGCGCGGGCGAAGCGGGCGGCAGGCGCCACCTCGTCCCCGGAGGAGAGCGTCCACCGCGAGTCGGGGTCGCCGAGCTCCGTGTGGTACGGCGCGCATGTCGTCTTGCAAGGCGCCGGCGCCCGCGCTGTCAACCACGACCACAGTGAGTAAGTGCAGCCCTATGTCTCGGCACGGGAACGAGCGAACGACACGGACCAAAGTAAATACAACAACACACATGCGCAGGCGATCGATACAAACACAACGACAGACTGCAAGCGGACATCTACCAACTCGCGTCGTACGTTCGGAGAGGCGGCCGTTTTTTTCCTTCGCATCGAGGTAGAAGGAGATGGGAGATGGGAGGCGGGTGACGGGGGAATGATTATAAATATATTTCGAGGCGACGCCCCGTTCCTAAATCAGTGGTTACGTGTACATCATGGTTTCCTAAATGCAATAGACGAATAAAAAAACAATCGCGTTTTTGTAGCGTAAATTGCAAGTATATCAAAAGCACGAACTTTTAAAAATTGTAGGCTTAGCGTTTATTCATGAAATGAACGCATTTCGCAATAGTGCGTTCGGAACGCGCGGGTCCGGGCGGGATCGGATGTGGTATGTTACGTACCCGCGTTGTGCGCGCGTGCAGGCGGCTCGTACAGGTGAGCCAGCACGGTGGTGGAGTGCGCGCGCTGGCGGCCGCGCCCCCCACGCCCGCCTCGCCCGCGCGCCGCACCCGCCGCGACCGACGCGCCCGCCGCGCCCGCCGCACCGCTCAGCATCAGGCTCAGCTCGTAGTCCTGCAAGGCAATCGTCTTCCTGTACTCGACACAACAGTTCTGATGCGACACATTATGTACACCACTTTCCACCTCTTGTTTTCCTACGTGTTTGAATTATTATATATAACCTATTGAATAATTACCATTCCGTCTCGATTCGTTGGTAAACTCAAAAAATGCACAAACATTAATGTTTTCAACATACAACATATAACAATGTTCAAATGTACACAAATGAAGGTACTTACCAATACCCCCAACATTTTGCCTAAATTGTTAAAAGTAGATGGGAAGTTATAATACGATTTGACCGAACGTCTGGGCTGAACTGGGCAATTTTCTGGGCTGTCATACAAATTATCTTTTCATGTTTTTTAGTATATTTTTTTCCTTGAGTCTGCTTTGTATGACTAAATATATGTCTCATAACGTAAAATTTACTGAATATACATGCTTACGGGGATGTTAGAAATATTTCCCTGAAAATTTGTATGGAAACTGAATTAAAATCAGCGATAACTCAGTTATCGGTGGATTGCCCCTTATTTCCTTATAGGTGATGTTTTTACAATGTATTTGGATTTTTTGGCATACTGCGTATCACGGCCACTGGTGCGATTTTTAAGTTTTTTTAAGGTCAAAGGTCATAAATTTTTTTTTCCGTATTTCAGCAAAATGGTGAGTTTTGTCATAAATTTACCCGAGACAAAATTGTAGGTTATAAAATACCCTATTACAAACTCGCATATATCTTTTTTTCATATATTCCACCGTTTTTGAGATATAACGGTTTAAACAGTTAATTTACATGGACAAATAGACTCGACTTATGTATCAATATCATTATATCATCGTACAGCCCAAACCAATAGACCCTAAAGGTTTGAAATTTCGCATAGATGCTTTGATGATGAAAAATATGACTTTTTTGGTGTTTGAACTGTTATATAATAACTCGGAAACGGCGGCACTTACAAAAATGTAAGGGTTTTTGTAATAGGGAATTTTATAATCTACTATTTTGTCTTAGGCCACTTTTTGACAAAACTTACTATTTTGCTGAAATAAGCGAAAAACTCATTTTATGACCTTAGAAAAAAACCTAAAAATCGCACCAGTGGCCGTGATATACAGTATGCCAAAAATTCCAAATACATCTTTAAAACATCACCCATAAGGAAATAATCCAGGGCAATCCAGCGATAGCTGAGTTTTCGCTGATTTTAATGTCGCCTCCATACAAATTTAACGTTTTAAAACA